CAGATGGTCTTAAGTTTAGGATTCAGGGTTCAGGGCTTAGGGTGCCCTAAGCCCTAAACCCTATAGCCTCAAGCCCTTAACCCCTCAACCCCTTAACCCCTTAACCCCTTAACCCCCTGACCCCTTAACCCCTTAAGCCCTCAACCCCTTCAGCCCTCAACCCCTTCAGCCCTTAAACCCTTAAACCCTTAAACCCTTAAACCCAAAACCCGTTGAACCCCCTTACACCCAGAAACCCGAAACCCGAAACCGCCCAAACTCCAGACCCCAAAACCCAAAACCCCAAAACCCCAAAACCCAAGGTATAGTCCTCATACACCTAAGTAGCCCCTAATTAACCCCCAATAACCCCTAAGGTCCCTTACAAGGATCCCTAACCCCCTGAACCCCTAAAACCCTAAACCCCAAACCCTAAATCCGAAGCCTTGAACTCTCATAAGGCAGGCGCATGGATCTATGAGGATGTCGATGCTGTAGGCAATCTCGGCTTCCAGAGCACCGGGGGCTTTCTTTGGCTTAGGGTTTAGGGTTTAGGATTTAGGGTTTAGGGTTCAGGGTTCAGGGTTTAGGGTTCAGGGCTAAGGGCTTTAGGGCTTGGGGGATTATGGTTGAGTAGGGTTTAGGGCCGAGTAGCGTGCGCTTCAGAGTTTGAGTTGTTTTGGCGATGCGGCGAGGCAAGATGTGAGTCTGAGGCCAGCAAGAATCAAACCCGCACCCTACGCTGGTCCGAGGTCGTATATTGCCCCCCTGAGCCTAAGCCCTACACCCTCCACCCCTTCTAAACCCGAAAGCCATAAACCTTCCAGAAGCCCTAAACCACTAAACTCACACTAAACCCTGAACCCTAAACCTTCAAGAGGCTGTAATTGTTAGCCACGTCTTTTGAACTAAAATTAAAGCAAACTTATTGGTGCCACAAAAAAGAAACCTTTCTGCACGGAGCACCTATTCCGAAGAAGTCTGTCCCTGAAGCGGCTGAAAGAGAGACCCTAAACCATAAAACCCTAAACCCTAAACCCTAAACCCTAAACCCTAAACCCTCCCAGAGCGAGATGCGACCTCGTCTTCCGAAGACCCTGCAACCCTGGACCTCAAAAAAAAACCAAACCTGGGGTTTAGGGTTTAGGGTTTAGGGTTTAGGGTTTGGGGTTTAGGGTCTAGGGTCTAGGGTTTAGGGTTTAATTAGGGTTTAGGGCAGAGAGGCTCGCAAACAGCCCTGAATGCAAACCCTTGTTTGGGGCAGCAGAGGTGGGGGCCCGGATCATCTAAGCTGGGCCGGGCAGCGTAGTCCGTTTGAATCCGAAACCTCGGTTGCAAGTGCAGGAAACACAAAAATCCTGAACCCCAGACTCCAGCATGGGTTTCTACCAGAGGCATACGATTGCAACTCAACCCTTCAACCCTCAACCCTAAGCCCCTTCCTTAACAACCAACCACGACCTACTACTTGCTTAAGAACCCCAAGAAGATGAAACATACAACAATCCCTGTACTCTACCCTTGTTAGGAAGGAAACATGTGTTTTTGTTTGGGGGTTCTTCAGGAGTTAGCAGAGGGTTTAGGGTTTAGGGTTTAGGATTTAGGGTTTAGATGGAACATGGATTCAAGCCGCGGTCTCGAAAGATGGCTGCCGCTGTGCACCAGGACTTCCAGCCCAGCGGGTTTTTCCGGGGTTTAGGGTTTAGGGTTTAGGGTTTTAGGGTTTAGGGTTTAGGGTTTAGAGACCCTAAACCCTAAACCCCAAACACCAAACCAGGGGTTTTCTGCAGGGCGCTTAGGACTTGGGAGCAGCGAGGGTTTAGGGTTTAGGGTTAGGGTTTAGGGTTTAGGGTTCTGGGTTTAGGGTTTAGGGTTTAGGGACTGTTCGGGTCATCGTTTCTTTCGGAATTCATACGGTTGAAGGGTGCAGGGGGTTTCTGTCGGGGGCATCTTCTTTAAGATCCTATGAATTTCACAACACTACCTAGGACCCCCATCAGGTGGGACAGAGGGGTGGTTATTAAAGTCGGTTTAGGGACTTGGAAAGGGTGGGAGCCGCCAAAAAGGTTTCGGTCCCCGAGCCTTAACCCCAAAACCTTTAAACCCCAACCTATGGGGCAGATGACTGCAAGCCTCGGTTTAGGGTTTAGGGTTTAGGGTTTACCCTAAGAGTCTAAACTGTGTAAACTCTGGAACCCCAAACCCCGAAAACCAAAAACAAAACCTGGAACCCTCAAACCCTGGAACCCTCACACCCAAATTTGGGCCTACACCCTAAAACCCTAAAACCCTAAAACCCTAAAGCCCTAAACACCCTAACACCCTAAAAACCTAACTCCCTAAAACCCTCAAACCCTAAAACCCTAGAACCCTAAAACCCTAACCCCTAAAACCCTAAAACCCTAAAACCCTAGAACCCTAAACACCCTAAAACACTAAAACCCTAAAACCCTAAAACCCTAGAACCCTGAAGCCCTAAAACCCTAAAACCCTAGAACCCTAAAACCCTAAAAACCCTAAAGACCCGAAACACCCTAAACACCCTAAAACCCTAAATCCCTAAAACCTAAACCCTAACCCTAAACCCTAAACCCTAAAAACCCTAAAACCCTAAAACCCTAGAACCCTAAAAACCCTAAAAACCCTAACACCCTAAAACCCTAAACCCTAAACCCTAAACCCTAAACCCTGAACCCACGGGCTGCTGGGAGACTGGTAATCCGTCCGCAGCAAGGCGAAGTACGGTTCGGTGTCTCGCCTCGCAAACGTTTTCGGAAGTGGTACCCTCCATAGGGTTTAGGGTTTAGGGTTTAGGGTTTAGGGTTTAGGGTTTAGGGTTTAGGGTTTAGGGTTTAGGGTTTAGGGTTTAGGGTTTAGGGTTTAGGATAAGGGTTTAGGTAACCTTTCCTTTAACAAGGAAAATTATCAAACAATTGGACATGTCCACTTCAAAGCGAGTAAGGGGCCTTTGAAACAGGAAACCTTACTTGGGCCTCATTTGCGATCGGAGAAACCCTAAAACCCTATCCCTAAACCCTCAACCCTAAGCCCTAAGCCCTCAGCCCTGAGGCCTGAGCCCTAAGCCCTCAGCCCTGAGCCCTAAAACCTAAGCCCCCCAGCTTCGGGCGAGTTGCTGCGGCATGTTCCTGACGGGCTGGAAGCCAACGGCATCCTGTCAAGACGCGAACCCCCAAGGGTCCATGTACCCAAACAGGGAATACTCGTGCCTTAAAGTACGTCCTATACAGGGAATCTGGGTCCAAAGCACGTCCTATATAGGGACTGGGCCCAAGTATACAATCATGACACACACATAGACCCTTAGGGGAAACTACACCAAAGCCCCGTTAGCTGGTTGCAGGCTCCCTATGTCCCTAGAATCCCATCCGGCCTGCTTGAGCCATGCGAACCCCGGGAGAATCAAAGCCTAAGCCCAAACAGTCATGTGGTCTTGGGGTTCGGAGCTTAGGTCATGCGTTTTTCGGGTTCGGAGCGTAGGGAACGCAAAGCCATGAACCCTCAACCCCAAATCCTAGATCCTAAACCCCTCAACCCTACACCCGGAACCCTAAACCCTAAACCCTAAACCCTAAACCCTAAACCCTAAACCCCCTCCAAAAGAAAACAAGCTGAACCGACAAGTCGGACTGGTCCTGGCAGCGCACAGAGGTCCACTGAAGGCCTCGCGGCTCAGAGGGGCGAGCTTGAGGGAGTGGGGCTGTGGGGTAGGGTTTAGGGTTTAGGGTTTAGGGTTTAGGGTTTAGGGTTTAGGGTTTAGGGTTTAGGGTTTAGGGTTTAGGGTTTAGGGTTTAGGGTTTAGGGTTTAGGGTTTAGGGTTTAGGGTTTAGGGTTTAGGGTTTAGGGTTTAGGGTTTAGGGTTTAGGGTTTAGGGTTTAGGGTTTAGGGTTTAGGGTTTAGGGTTTAGGGTTTAGGGTTTAGGGTTTAGGGTTTAGGGTTTAGGGTTTAGGGTTTAGACCCTACCAGGAGGGGCCCTCCTGACCATGTCAGTGTCTAGTTTTCAGGGACCGGTCGAATCTAAGTTACACCCAACTTATTGCGTTCATCTCAGGGCCTCTGGGTACGGGCTTCGAGGTGTGGGGTTTTAGGGTTTAGGGTTCGGGGTTTAGGGTGCAAGGGCTTCTGGCTGCTGGGTTTCCAAGGAGCCCAGGAGAAAGAAAGGCAGCCATTCTTGCATATTTTGTGGGTTTACGGTTTAGGGTTTAGGGGATGTCGAACCTTTAGAAGGGGAAATCAGGTCTCGACCACGGCTGCGAGCGTGTCGGGTTTAGGGTTTAGGCTTCAAGGTTTAGGGTTTAGGGTTTAGGTTTAGGGTTTAGGGTTTAGGGTTTAGGGTTTAGGGTTTAGGGTTTAGGGTTTAGGGTTTAGGGTTCCCCAAGATGTGCTAGGGAGTTTTGGCATTTACCAGGCCTTCTTGGGGGCTTCAACTACTGACCCCTTGAAGGGTAGGCTTGTTGACGCTGATGGAAACTTGTGGGCCCTTTGAACATCTTTGAACTGGGTTCTGTTGGTTTAGGGTTTAGGGCTTAGGGCTTGGGCTTAGGGTTTAGTTCAGAACCCCATGTAAGGCTTCGGTAGGTGTAGGGGCGACGATGGCTTGACAAGTTGTGCTGCAATGAAGAAGATGTATATGATGCAAATGACCGAAGTGCATCTGAATAAGCGTGCCTGCTTAAACTTGCATCAAAGCCCCTATATGGTAGGATGAACCCTAAACCCTAAACCCTAAACCCTAAACCCTAAACCCGAAACCCGAAACCCTAAACCCTAACCCTAACTTAAGCCACTTTTGGCTGTAAGCGACAAAGTCCAGGAGCCACATGTTGCGGGGGGCGAGTGAGCAAGCCAAAGCTTCTTGACTCTGACAAGAAGCATTGCGTAGATGGCTTGCGGCTAGGGGGTTTTTAGGGTCGACCCTAAACCCTAAACCCTAAACCCTAAATTCGGGTTTTGGGTTTTGGGTTTTCAGACTCTCGGCGGGCACGCTCCAAATACACAGCATCTCATGATGGCTGCAGCTGTCGCCCACCACTGGGAGCATCACCCCAGGTCACGATTGATCCGTCGACCAAAATTGCAGCAAAGGCCGCGCTCGTGGCTTGGATGTCCTCCAACAACTTGCAGGCTCTTAGCAGGTGAATTCAGGATTCAGGGTTAGGGTTAGGGCTTAGGGAATGAGATTCTTTTGGATCCCACATGATCGGGTGCGGAACTGGCAACTAGAGGGGGGGGGGGGCTGGGACCCTAAACATGAAACTCTACCGCCCTAACGCCCCAGACCAAGTTCGAACCCCTAAAGCCCTAAACTTATCTGCAACCCTGTACGGTCTTGAGCACTAAAGCGGAAACTCCAAAACCGACAACCCCTAAAAAAACCCTAAGGCCCTAAAATCCCCCACTCTGGAAGGTTAACCTAGTTGCTGAGTACCCTAGGCCAAAAAAAGGTTCACACTTCAATTCTGGTAGGGCTCTATATCCCCGAAAAAGATTGAAGGTTAGCTACGCAGCTACTAAGCTAACTTACTGTTGGTTCGTATGAGGGAATGAGGTACCCTGCATCCCCCTGTATAGAAACCGTTTCAGGGATTATACAGGGTACCTCATTTTCTCATTCCCTACTAACCAACAGTAAGTTGGTTTAGGGTTTAGGGTTTAGGGTTTAGGGTTTAGGGTTTAGGGTTTAGGGTGCTCAGATCCTCCACCCCCTGCAGCAGGTGCTGCACTGCGCTGCTGTCGCCCCCGCTGCCGGCGGCTCCCCAGGTCACCACCGAACCGTCCTCGCGCAACCTGGGAAAGTGTCTAGGGTCTAGGGTCTAGGGTTTAGGGTTTAGGGTTTAGGCTTTAGGGTGTGGGGCTTAGGGTGTGGGGTTTAGGGTGTGGGGAACCCCAGGTCGGGTAGTCCCGAAGGGCGCCAACAGAAAGTCGTCAGGGTCTTGGCACTATGGGGGTGGAGTTGGGTTAAAGGGCTTTTAGGGTTTAGGGATTTGTTTAGGGTTCCGGGTTTAGGGTTTAGGCTTTGGGGCCTAGGTCTTTAGGGCTTAGGGTTTAGGCAAGACCAAGAAAGTGTGTCCAACGAAGGGCCCAGGCACGCTGCAAATGCATGGCCGGTTGCCTGGGCTTAGGGTTCAGGGCTTGGTAGGGGTTCTTTGGGTATCTTAAGCCCAAGAAGGGGAAGGGGAAACCATGCAACTGACCAAGATCCGTCCTACCCTAAACCCTAAACCCTAAACCCTAAACCCGAAACCCCACACCCTAAACCCTAAACCCTAAACCCTAAACCCTAAACCCTAAACCCTAAACCCTAAACCCTAAACCCTAAACCCTAAACCCTAAACCCTAAACCTGCCTGAAGCTTCTTCACGCCCCAGAGCTGGCTCTGCACTGCGGCGCTGTCCCCACCGTCCCGGCCTCCCCCCCAGGTCACCACCTGAGTCTTGAAAAAAAGCACGAAGAACAAAGGGTTTAGGGTTTAGGGTGTGGGGTTTAGGGTTTAGGGTTTAGGGTTTAGGGTTTAGGGTTTCGGGTTTAGGGTTTAGGGGTTTAGGGTTTAAGGGCTTAGGGGAAGACATGCGAGTGCAGAACAATACTTACAGAATTGAGAACCGTTGACGGTAGCATCATAGGGCTCGCAATAGCAATGGCCTTGAGGAAGCCTAAAGTTCAGAGGGTCTACGTCCGGGATGGATATCAGTTGCCAGCTAAAAAGCCCGAGCCCTACACCCTAAACCCTAAACCCTAAACCCTAAACCCTAAACCAGGGGCTTGTTTGGGTTGGAATGGCACGTTTAGGGTTGAGGTTTGAAGGTTTTTTGGGTTTTGGGCTGGTCTGGAAATTCGTAGGGCCTGGGTTTAGGATGCTGAGGTCATACTGCATGAGCCAGCCACAGAACCATCCCCACAGATTCCAGCAAAGGCCAGCGAGGATGCCTGGATACATCGCACATCCTTGGTAGCCCAATACCCGTAACCATATTCATCCTAATCCCTGAACCCCAAACCCTAAACCTTTTTTTCAAACGGTTGATGACTTGATAAGGGGCACCTTTAGAACCAAGCAAAGAAGGGGCAAAAGGGTCCCACTAGGCTACCAAGCATTTTGGACGTTCCCCCTTATACTCGCAGTCCTTAATAGGGATTATAGTACCCCCTCCCCCCTAAACCCTAAACCCGAAACCCCAAACCCTAAACCCTAAACCCTAGACTGTTTGTATAAGGGGAACATCCCAACCAGGCATCCTCAAGTGGCTCTGGAGGAAAGGTGCCGCCAGTGCCCCACGTCACCACCTAGGTTGGCCGTTGAAAACCCCTGAAAGATATTCCCCCAAAAACGGTTTAGGGATAGGGCTATACAGGCGGCAGTCAATATTCCTTCTCGATGCTGAAAAATCATGGACCCAGCCACAGAGTTGTCACCCAGGATCGCGGCGAATGCGCAGCGGGTTGATTGAATTGCCTGCACATTCTTCAGCCGCTCCTGTGAGTTGTGCTGTTAAGACCCTTTGAAAACTATTGTTTGAGTAGGTTTAGGGTTTATAGGGTTTAGGGTTTAGGGTTCAGGGTTCAGGGTGGAGGTTCCCTTCCCAAGGCTCCTGTAGAAAATGACTCAAGCAAAACCCAAAACCTTTCAACCCCTAAAAATCATCCCCCCTCCCCCACCCCCCTCCATGCTCCTGTACAGAACTACAGTCCCCACCAGAATCAGGATCGCCCCAAGCCACCGCGGATCCATCGCGTAAGATGGCCGCAAAGGCACGATCGCTCGCCTGCACCTGCTGTGCGCCGCAGAGCGTCTTCGGCGCTTCGTAAGAAGCTCCCCAGGACACCATCGAGCCATCTGCACGGATGGCTGCAAACTCGCGTTTGCTGCTCTGAATGTGCTGCACATCCTGGGGTTTAGGGTCTAGGGTGGTTCAGGGTTGAGGGTTCAGGAGAACGTTCCCAAGAATAGATAGCAGGGGAAGCCTATAGGTACCCTACACCCTACACCCTACACCCTACGCCCTACACCCTAGACCCTAAACCCTAAACCCTAAACCCTAAACCCTAAACCCTACACGCTTCTTAAGGGAGCACCCAGCATCTGTCAGGCACATCTTCACCGCAGGGCCGGGATTCCCATCCTAGGTTGGCCCGTCAAACTCGAAATCCCTAAATGTGATGTGTTTGGGGTTTGGGGTTTAGGGTTTAGGGTTTAGGGTTTAGGGTTTAGGGTTTCGCGCCCCTATAAGCCCCCAAAAAAGAACAACATAGTCCCCCAAAATTCCTACCCAGCATCGCGCCCGCCGCCCCAAAGCACCACGGAGCCATCGCCCCGGAGGGCGGCAAAAGCGGCGCTGGTTCGCTGGATGCATCTCACATCGTGCAGCTGCGCTTGAACCTGGGGTTTAGGGTTTAGGGTTTAGGGTTTAGGGTTTGGGGTTTAGGGTTTAGGGTTTGGGGTTTTGGGTATGTAGGAGTTTATGTGAGGTTCAGGGTATGCGGGAGTGTAGATGGAGTTCAGGGTACAACGTTTTGTCCAGAACTTGAAATCGGCTACCATCGCTGGGGAAGTTTTGTCAAAGAGACCTTGAACTCAGCAGCCCAGGAACCTCGCTGCAGTCGCCGCCGCGCTCTGGATCACCCCAAGCCACCACCTTACTGTTTGTGAGCAGGGAATGTGGGACATAGGGCCCTACATTTTCGCCTAAAGGGTATATATATATATGTTTATATATATATATATCCTTTTCGGGATTCTATAGGGTACCTTCTGCCCCCATTCCCTCGTAACCAAGAGTAAGCCACTGAGCCATCATCCAGGATGGCTGCGAAGGCAAACTCATTCGCTTGAATTTCCCGGACGTTCTTCAGCAATGATCGCACCCCTCCCATGTTTCCACCACCTGAAGGTCAGGTTACTTACTGTTGGTTCGTAGGGGATGGGGGCATAGGGTACCCTATATCATCCCTTAAAAGGGTATATAATGGGCCCTACTTCCCTCATTCCCTGCTAGACCCTACCCCTCTCCCATGTTTCCGCCACCTTCGTCATGACCCCAGGTTAGCACAGTCCCATCGCTCAGGAGTGCAGCGAAAGCAAAGTTGGTGCATTGTATCCTGGGTGGCTGTTAGAGAACACTAGAAGACGTTACCGATGCAAAAGAGAGATGCTATGTAATTCCTACAGCACGTATATACATAAATATGTAGTGGTAACCTCAGCTTTCTGGTAAACAGCAAATGAATGTGCAGCCGGACGGACAGCAAACTCCAAACCCTAAGATAAACCTAAGGCCTAAACCCTCAGCTAAATTTACACCAAGTCCTAGACCCTCAACTGATTTTTCCCTACACCCCAAACCCTCCACAGAATTTACCCTAAACCCTAAACCCTAAACCCTGAACCCTAAACCCTAAACAGCCCCCAAGTCTCTGCTGCACATGCCTCAGCATCCTCTGAAAGGCGGAACTGTCACCGCCGTGATCAATCCTCGAATTCATATGGGAGTTTAGGGTTTAGGGTTTAGGGTTTAGGGTTTAGGGTTTAGGGTTTAGGGACCCCCATAATAGACCCCCAAATAGTAGGATTCACTTTCAATTACACAAAGATCCCTAGAAGGTATCCCGAATGTCGGAAACCCCGATACAGGACATCTGCTCTTATAAGGAGTGAGAGTGGTTCAGGATCAGGCTGTTAGGGTTTAGGGTTTGGTGTTTAGGGCTTGGGTTTCAAGGTTCAGTCAGGGCTTAGGGTTTCGGTTTCGGGGGCCTCAGGGACGGCAGGAAACACCCTCCCGAACCCTGCAAGCCCTGTAATTAAAACAGCTACGGCCGCCAGGAAACGCTCCCCAACTGAAAGCAGATCCATCACCTTGGATTGCCGCAAACGCGGCAATCGTGGCGGCCACCGCCACCGGCCGCGCGTGGAAGGTCAAAACATCACCTGCCTTGAGGCCGGCTTCTGCAACTGTTTTACCTGCATCCTCAACTGTTCTTCGAACCGCTTTCAAAAACATGAAGAGGGTTTTAAGAAAGACTTTTAAAAAACCCTTCAGACAAACCTTTTCTTAGTCATAAGCAGGTTGCAGTCTATTTCCATGTGCGGACAGGCATCCAAGCACGTGCCGGAGGCTGTCAGCAAGTTCCCCTTCGTGCATCCAAGGGCTTCCTGAGCCTCTTGCGCCAGGGCAGCGACCCGTGCGCCTGGCTCAGCTTCAAGCGCGATCGTCCGCCCGCTTACGAGGCAGACTTCCAGACGGATGGCCATGGCTGGAAGGATTTAGGGTTTAGGGTTTAGGGTTTAGGGTTTAGGGTTTAGGGCAGTTCAGGGATCGGAATCCCCTCCCTCCTAAGAACTCAGCAACCTGTGAAGGGAGCAGGCTTCAATGAACTCCGAAAAGATCCCCCCCCCCCCAAAGGAGCAGATAAGCCGCAACGAGCCCAAACCCTGAACTCCCCCAAACCTAAACCCTAAACCCTAAACCCCCTTGACTGTCCCTTATGACTGCCAGGAGGCCCCTTCATGTTCTCGAAATTTATTGCCCCAAAATACTATAGCAACCCCCACGAAGGACACCGATTTTCGGACCCTCCCCCCATTTACTAATACCTTATATCCCCCCCCTCAATCGGTTCCTCTAATATTAAACAGGCGGACCCCCCCGCCCCCCTCCCCCCCCCCCTCCCAATAGAAACTCGAAATGTGTTTTTTTATTAAATTAGTAGGGATGTTTTTATCCAAATGTCACGCTTGGGGTCTAAAGGGTTTAGGGTCTAGGCTTCAGGGTTTGGAGGGTTTAAGTAACTACTTAATTACTTCGGGTGTAAACTGAGAGACTGAGAGAGAGAGAGAGAGAGACCAGCTCACGCAGCACAGCAAGGCACAGACGGAGGCTTTGCAGCTCACTCACACCCACACTCACTTCACAGGAGGGAAGGGAGGGCTGGGAGGCTTTCAGCAGCCCTTCCTTTGTACCCTAAACCCTAAACCCTGAACCCTGAACCCTAAACCCTAAACCCTGAACCCTGAACCCTAAACCCTAAACCCTCCCCGAGCCTTGAAGCAGCAGCAGGGCCCAGTGCTTCATGGCAAGTAGGGCCCAGAGGCACCCCCGAGCCGCCCCGAGGAAAACCCTAAACCCTAAACCCTAAACCCTAAACCCTAAACCCTAAACCCTAAACCCTAAACCCTAAACCCTAAACCCTAAACCCTAAACCCTAAACCCTAAACCCAAGGAAGGCTCAGCAAGGACGGGACTTGTCAGGGTTCTGGGGGACACGGGGTTTCGTGCTTGCGGTGGGGACTTCGGGGCCCCTAAACTCTACAAAGTTAACCCCTAAACCCTAAACCCTAAACCCTTAACCCTAAACCCTTTATGGTGTGAAAGTTCCTGGGTTTCGTGGACGTTCAGGGCTTGGGATGTGGCATTTCACGTTGACAACATGTATGCTGGGCGTGCAGAAGCACTTCCGGCCTCCCATGTAGGGTGAAACAAGGAATTTGAGCTGGATCAGGTTCCGCAATGCAGTTTTCCTCCACGTTACGGTGCTTTTTCTCGGGTTTTGAGCTTCTGCTTGTAATTTTAAATCTGTGGGAGGGGTTGTTATCTTGTTGGTTTGCTTGTTCCTTTTATTGCGTGTTGGGGAAAGAAAACATCGTTCTGCTCGATGATGTAGCACTTTCTATTTATGGGGTCCTGTTTCGGGCTGTTTAGTGAACCCCTAAACCCTGAACCCTCTGACCCTCAACCCTAAAACCCTAAACCCCTTAGACCCTCGGACCCTAAGACCCTCAACCCTAAAACCCCTAAGACCCTAAACCCTAAGACCCTAAGACCCTAAAACCCTAAACGGCCCTAAGCCCGAAGTAGACCGGTCCCTCGACAAAAGCATTTCAGGAGTTTAGGAACTCGAAAACCTGAACCAGAAGGACATGGGCTTCACTCCACTTTAGGGTTTAGGGTTTAGGGTTTAGGGTTTAGGGTTTGGGGTTTGGGGTTTGGGGTTTGGGGTTTGGGGTTTGGGGCTTGGGGTTTCTGAACTTGAGCAACTTGCGTAATCGGGACATGTCTTACCACAAGAGATGGGGGTCTTGAGAGCCACTCCCTGGGTAGTTCTGATAGGCGGGGCTAAACCCGAAACCCCTCAACCCTGCACTGCCAGCTTCTTGACCTGCCACACCCAAGCCTTGAACTTAAAACCCCTAAAAACCTAAGCCCTAAACCCTAAACCCTGAAACCCCCCAAAAAGGGTTCAACCCCGGACTTCAAGGACTAGACACGCCAAAGCTCCTAAGCCCTTCGCTCTAGAGAAAGCCCTGAAATACCTTAAACTTTAAACCTTAAACTTTGGGATGTTCCCCCTCATGTCAGTCCTTGATAGGGATTATAATAGGGGGGTACTATAACCCCGATTAAAAAAACTTCAACCACTAAAAGACCCAAAGCCACTCAACCCCACTCAGCCCCAAACTCAAAATCCCTTGAAGCCCTTAAATAGCGTTAAGCCCCCAACCTTCAACCGCTAAGCAAACCCAAAGACCTCAACCGCCTCAGCCATTTAAGCACCCACGCCCTGGAACTGTCCTAAACCCTAAAGCCCGACTAAAACCACAGCGCCGCAATCAAAAACCCTAAGCCCTAAAATCCTGACCCCTAAGCCCTGCAAACACCCTCAAACACTGAACCCTACAAACCTAAACCCGGAAGCCGGAGTTCAGGGCTCTATCTGGGAGTGTCCGGATGCTTCGGGGCCCCCTTTGAAGCCCTAAAACCACCTGAACCCTCCAGAACCTGATGCCCGAAAATCCTGAAACCTAAAACCCTAAAACCCTAGAAATCCTATAACCCTTAATCACCCTCAGACCCTATATCCTGAGGAGTATAAAAATACGGGCCCGGCCTCGAGCAACGTCTGCTTCAGCTGCTGCAATCCTCAAGAGTCTCTTAGGGTTTAGGGCTTAGGGTTTGGGGCTTGAGGTTCAAGGTTTAGGGTTGGTTTAGGGTAGTTACATCGTTCCTGAATATAGGGGCGGAGGGGGGGAGGGGGGGGAGGGGGGGGAGGGAGGGACCAGGACTTGAGAATCCTACATCTGATCAACCCGACTAATTATACATCTGATCTCCCCACCACTAAAACTTGCACAAACCCTGGAAACACTCGAGTCGAAAACCCACAAACAAAACCCTCTAAGCCTTTGCCAAGATGGACCCTAAACCCTAAACTCTAAGCGCAGGTACATGGTCCCTCAGTGGTGATGGTCCCTTACTTTCGTTAAAGGGTATCTGTGAGAAAGGAATTACGCTGAAAGAGCGGGCAAAGGCAATAGATGTGATCCGCTTAGAAGAGGGTCAACTGGTCAAGTGACGGTCAGTGGAGCACTTCGCCATGTCTGGTGGAAGACCGCGAAGCCAGTTAATGCCAGCGCGGGCGCCCGGGCCAGTAAGGCAATACTTTTCGTCTTCACGTCGAGGGTACTGACCGGCCGAGCGGTAAAGGCGCCAAAACACCGTGGCGGTGTATTGGCCATACCCGGTCCAGATAGAAGACGGCGTATGAGGACTCTAACAACAGCGGGCTTCGGGGACCCTAAACCCTGAACCCTAAAACCTAAAGCCTAAACCCTAAACCCTGAATCCTCCAAGAAAGAAAACAAGTGCTAGATCACCGGGCAGGAGTCTCAGCACCTGAGCACCTACGAGCATGGGCCCTCCCTCAACCCGATGCCCAAAATCTTAAAATAGGTTGGGGGTTTAGGGTTTAGGGTTTAGTGTTTAGGGTCTAGAGTTTAGGGTTTAGGGTTTAGGGTTCAGGGTTTGGGGCTTCGGGGTTAAGGCGATTTGCCAACTCTTCTCAGCAAAGGAGATACATGGCGACATGTCAAGCGACGGTCTGCAAGCTCTATCAACCCGATAAACCCTACAGAAGCCTTTAGGGTTTAGGGTTTAGGGTTTTGGGTTTAGGGTTTAGGGTTGCAAACCCGAAATCCCTGCATGATCCAACTAAACCCCAAACCCAAATCCCACTGAGAGGTTTATGGGGTTTAGACGTGTTCAGACTTGGCGGGGTTCCCTAATTCTCGGATTTAGGGTGTAGGGTAACCCCAAGCCATGAAAACCGAGGCCTACGGAGACACCCAAAACCCCGCAGTCGCGACACCCACCCCTGAATTGGTTTAGGGTTCAGGGTTGATAGCCTTCATGCACTACACCCTGAACCCTAAGCCCTGAACCCTAAACCCTTAAGCCTAAACCCTGAAGCCTAAACCCTAAACCCTGAACATGAAACCCTAAACCCTAAACATGAAACCCTAAACCCTAAACCCTGAAGCCTAAACCCTAAACTCTAACTGGATTGCTGGACATTTGGAACGTCGTGCTTTAGGATGTGCAGTCTGAAATCGGCTAGTGCGGTTCTGGGTTCAGGCTTATGGCTTTCTGAGGTGGATCTTTTTGGGAGGTTGAGGGTTTGGGGTTGAATGTTGCAACAAGTCGTTTAGGGCTTTCAGAGGCAGATTTTTTTGGGGGGGAAGGCCTATTCACGCGAAAGGGTCATGGACGGTCATACGGGGAGTCGGGCCCGTGTAAGGAACGTAACAAAGAAACAAATCAACCACAGGTTTGGGTTCTTAATCTGGTTTAGGCAGTTGAATTATTTTCGATCTTTACTAGGTTCCGAGCTACCTTGGCAAAATCGAAGGCTGCCCTTAATGTTGCTTCTCATAGGTGTTCTGCGAAAGAGGCTTGCGGATTCACCCTAAACCCTATACGAAAGTGATTACAACGCTCTCTCCCGGACATCCAACCATGCCATTTTATGGCCAAAACCTTCGGCCCTTTCATCGTGATCTTCACGGGACTTAGGATCGTGCAACTTCTACACCCCCAAAAGCGTCTGAGCCTTAGCGATTCAACCCCGAAGCCCTAAACACTACAGCCTCTACCCTGAAGCCTGAACCCTAAACCCGAAACCCTAAAGTTTGCAAGTCAGACAAGGGTCTCGAGCCCGTGAGGGATGTACTCGGCGAGTGTCCCAATTTCAGGTCCACCCTGCGAGGGTAGGGTTCAGGGCTTAGGGGTTCAGGTTTATTGTTCAAGGACTATGGGATTATGGTCCATGGTGACGGTTTGGGGTCCAGGGTTTAGGGCCCATAGGGTTCAGGGACCTAGCCAAGTAGCTGCAAGGACTAGCACATTGTCTTTCTCTGGTTCTTGACCATAAGGACTCATCGCAGCGGCCCGCCCGGCTCCGTGTCTTGCGCTCATGTCC